GTGTGTTTCAGTCCGTGTTTGGACGGGTTATCACACTACCCCCCCCTCAAGAGCGAGGTCCCTTCAAGCGAGTAACTCATTCTGAGTCCTTGGCAAACACATCGTAGGCGAGCAAGGCAAAGACATTCCTGGAATACTATGTTGCAGAGAGCCTTGCTGAGATCTTCGGTGTGGCGTTAGCGGCGATCTGTCGCTCGTAAGCCTTCACAACGCGTGGTGCGCTGCGCAGAGATCATCTAACGGGTGATACATGAAATGAACCTGGTACTGTCTGTTTCTCCCTTTACCTACATGCTGTTTGATTCTATCTATCTCATGCCCTCCCTTGATTGCACGAGGAATCATATCTTCGCGGTAATCGAATGTCTCGGCATCACGATGGAGATTCACTTTAGATGCATGAAACACGGGATATCAGCGCAGGTGAGCTGGCACGTCGACAACGTACGAAGGACCAAAGTGATCTTCCCCAATTACATCCAGAACTTCCCAAGGCCCGTAGTAGAGTGGGAGGAGTTTGTGTGAGACTCCCTCCTCCTCTGAGAATTCAGACATCTTCACCCAGACATAGCTTCCTACCTTAATCTCCGATGGTTTGCGCTTTTTGTTCGCATGGTGGATCATGGCATGCTGTCGCTTAGTCATAGATGCAACAACAACTTTGAGCAAGCGATCGTACTTACCCCTGAAGCCGGGTCTGCCGGGTGTTAAACCAGCTGGCTGCTCCGGGAATAAGTAGGAGAGCGGATTACGGATCTGCCACCCGTAGTGCAACCTGTTAGGTGTCGTGGCGGTGGCAAAATGGACGGAGTTGTTATACAACCCCTTGACAGAATACAGCTCTACGTCCCATATTTCCTGATCCGGAATAATCAATGCACGGAAAAGTTGGAATACAGTCCGGTTGATCTCCTCAGCCAAACCGTTGGCTTCGGGGTGTCAGCCAGATGTCATGCACAGTTTGATTCCTAGGTGAGACGTGAAGTCCTTCCATTCAGTGCTAATGAAACACGGATCCCGATCGCTCACAAGAGTCTTCGGGGTTCCGAATTGCAGCAGGTATTTCTGCTGGAATTCGCGAATCACTAAATCTGTTGGGACGTGAGGTGGTAAAGGAATCAGATTGAGAAACTTTGAAAATCGGTCAACAATCACCATGACTTGTGAAAATCGTTCTTGCTTACCTTACCCATGTCAGTGAAATCGATGGAGACGGACTCCCCGGGACCATCAGGAATGGGTAGGGGTTTGAGTAGCCCTATGGGCTTTTGTCTGCATGGTTTGATTCGTTGACAGACTTGACATTCAACTATAAATTTCTCAGCAGTCCCTTTCATGCCAGGCCAATCAAACTGTCTCAGCAAATTAGCGTACGTTTTAGCCATGCCGAAGTGTCCGCTCCGGCCATGAGCCAAGTCCAGAAAGTGTGTGCGGAGAGGCTCATGGTTGGGTACACACAAATGGTTATGGTTCCCGTATCGGCAAAAAATCAGTCCTCCATACGCGTGGAAATCAGACTGACTACTAGGATCAGCCCGCAACTGCTCGAGGATGGAACTGAGTTCCGGATCCTTGGCTGTCTGCTCTACGAGGTCCTCCTTCAATTTCTTCCGGAGGTCGTAGGATTTCACAAGGCAAGTCATGTACTCAGGGTGGCGAGACAAAGCGTCATCGACTCGATTGTAACAACCCTTTTTATGTCTGAATTCAAAATCAAAGATGTCAATCTCATGAAACCAACGAAGCAAGGTAGGGGACAGAGTAGTCTGCTGTTTGATCCACTTCAGGGTCTCATGATCTGAGAAGACTTTGAAGTGGCGTCCCAAAAGGTAATGTTTCCAGTGATCCAACACCATACGCAAAGCGTAGAGCTCGAGCATGTAGGTGGAAGTGGCTACCTTTACGCTGGGCATTCGTTTGTTGTAGTATTCGAGCGTCTGCAGGCCATCGCCGTCATCTTGTTGCAGCACTGCACCGATTCCATACTGACTTGCATCCGTAGTAACTACGAAGGTCAGTTTGGGATCTGCAATACGGAGTACTGGGTAACTTACCAAAGCTTCCTTGAGGGTTCGAAAAGCTTCCGTACACGTGGCATCCCTAAGACACATTTTTACTGGTTAGTCGCGACAACGGACGAGCAATGATAGAAAAACGGGGTACAAACTTCCGATAGTACGACGCGAGACCAAGGAAAGAACGCAATTTGCGAATGTTCGCAGGCTAAGGCCAATCACGTATGACCTCAATCTTAGTTGCCTCAGGCTCTAGGCCTGCGGCAGACAACCGGTGCCCAAGATAGATGACACTATCCTTCCCAAACTCAGATTTCTCCAAGTTGAGATGGAGCTGCGTCTTCTTGAGGATCGCGAGCACCTCCTCAAGATGCTTGAGGTGTTCCTCCATGGACTTGCTGAAAATCAGAATATCGTCCAGGTACACTACCACGAACCGGCCAATCTGTTCGCGGAGGACCTTGTCCATGAGGCTTTGGAAAGTGGTTGGTGCATTCGTGAGACCGAAGGGCATTACGGTAAACTCATAAAGCCCGTCGCGAGTTTTGAACGCAGTTTTGTGCTGGTCTGCAAGATCGACTTCAATCTGGTGGTAGCCAGACTTGAGATCGATCTTGGAGAAGACCTTGCACCCGTCTGCGGCATCAAGCAAGTCATCTATACGAGGCAATGGGTATGCATTCTTTCTCGTGATGCGGTTTAGACCGCGATAGTCAATACACATACGGAGTTTGCCTCCTTTCTTTGGTACAAACAACACAGGAGCACCAAATTCAGATTCACTTGGTTTGATCCACCCTTTGTCAATCATCTCATCGATCTGTCGCCGGAGTTCCTCCAACTCGCCGGGTCCCATGCGGTACACGCAGCTCTTTGGAGGAACAACACCCTCGACCAACTCGATGGTGTGTCGAACCGGTCGCGTGGGGACTCCACGTGGCTCGGCCAAGACTTCTGGAAACTGATCGAGGAGGGTTTGGATGTCTGATGGGACAGGTGGGGGTGGGGAATCAGCAAAGGGATCACCAAAATCCGGTCGCAGGTCGCGTATAGAGACGACCGAATCTGAAGTAGGATCATTTGGACTATTATAGGGTAGAGAGGTAGAGGTGCTAGTAGTAGAAGTACTAGAAGTAGGATCATTAATCAAAGTAGTAGTGGTACTAGCCGCAAAAGTAGAAGGCACATGAGCAGGACGAACAAAGGCAACATACATTCATTCTTCCTTCTTGTGCTTGCGCCACTTCTTGCAGAATTTCAATGCATTAAGAAAAGTCACTGGGGACTCGTGCTTCTCACCCAAGAGGACAGGAAGCTCGTTCCCCTGAGCATCTTTGACCATGAAGAGTGATTCCTTCCACTTGGTCCATTCGCATTGGGACTGCAACCAGCCCAAACCAAGGACAGCGTCGAAGGGGCACTTGTCAAGGACAAAGAAGTCCAGTGCATGGGTGATAGTCTTACCTTTGTCAAAGGTAGTGCGCACACCTTTGACTGTATGTGTAGAAGAGACAACTTCTTTGTTGCCAACTTGGGTCCGACAAGGGTTCTGCAAGACCACTTGCTTCATCCCCAAGCCCACCTTGCGTATCCCATGGGATGACATGAAGTTAACAGTAGCACCATAATCAACCAACACACGGAGATAGCGGTGGTTTATGAGAAGTTTAAAGAAGATCAACTTCACTGTCCCTTGGGCACGCTGCTGTTTCATCTCAGCCCAATGCTCCAAGTGGTAGTGGAAGTCAACCATCTCAGACTCCTCCCAAGGTTCGACATACAATACATTACTTACCTCAGCCTTGTCTTCAGCAGATGATTGGGCTTCAAGGGAGGGCTGCTGATTTTCAATAGAACCAGCCTTCCCTGCTGAAGAGTTTATTGAATCTGACTCTACGCCCGATTCTGGTTTCCCTGCAGCCTATAGCAGTCTTGAACCTTATGATTTGGTTTTTGGCAATGCAGGCAAACCCCCTTCTTGAGTCTGCCCCGCCAGTCATTCTCATTGATCCGGAGGGCAACCCATGGTTTGGTAGATGCATCCTCCGGCTTAGGTGGGATCTTAACTCCTTTGGGGAGTTGGACATAACTTTTTCCGGCACTCCGATTCGGTCCCTTAGTGCTGGCAGTCTTTTTAAAGGCAGAAAATTTCTGATCTTCTTTATTCGCGTCGGACTCATGGGCTGAAGAACAAGCTGTATCGGAATCCTGTCCTTGGTCGTCACCAAGAGTGGGGTCATCCGCATCGGCTTCTTCTTTGGCCTCCAGCAGGTTATGCACAGCAAAACGGTTGCTGCCCTTGAACCGTTTGTCGCCCACGGGCTTTTTGCTGCCTGCCGTGCTAACGAGGTCCATGGCCTCCAGACTGACTACGTCCTTCATTAAGGCGAGCCGGTCAATATAAGCAATGTAGTCCCTGCCCAGGCGAGTAGTAAAGTTAGTTGGAACCGCGCCCTTGACCACATTCAAGCAAGATTGAGTGGACAATTTCAAACCAAGAGTGACAAACAGCTTACTTAGATAGGTCTGCAGGCTTTTCATGGAGCCATTCCATTTGTTGTGCTTTACTTTATCCAGTTGAATTCTTGCTTTAGCAGCAACATGTGGATCTTGGTATTCCGAGGTAAGGAGTTCTTCGAGGGAGGCAACCGGGGTGGTCCTTAGCCATTTGGCCAGTGCAGCCTTTGGAAACCCAGCCCTCGTTGCCTGGACTTCTAGGAAGCCCCGTACGACCGGCTCAACATTCATTCTCACGATTAGCGCCTGGGTCTCAACTTGAGTCCCCAGAATCTCAAAGTAGGCCCTCATGGAGCCGATCCAGGACCCGATGCGTTCCTTGCCATCGTACTTGGACGGTATTTGAATCGCCTTCCGGTCCACATAAGGACCAACGTGGCTGGGACCAACAGCAACTGGTTCCGGTCTTGGGGCTGCAGCAATTGCAGAAGTTTCAACCTCATTGCTTGTTACAGCAACAGTGGAATCTGCACCTGCTTGGACCAGCGTGGCTGGGACCAGCAGCAACTGGTTCCAGTCTTGGGACTGCNGCTGGGACCAGCAGCAACTGGTTCCAGTCTTGGGACTGCAGCAATTGCAGAAGTTCCAACCTCATTGCTTGTTACAGCAACAGTGGAATCTGCACTTGTTGCAGGTCCTCAGGAAGTTGCCATCACAATCGAAGAAGAGGTAGAAGAAGATACAGTAACAGGGGCTGAAGTAGTTCCGATTGCAGCTCCGGATCCAGGGGGTAGAGGGAGAGGGTTGGCCACTTGGGCTTGTCGCAGGTCAGCCACCTCCTTGGTCAAGTCATGGTACTTGCGGGTCATATCAGTCARATCATCCTGAAGAGTCTGCAGCTTCGCAAAACCTTCAGCGATCTGAGTGGTATGGTCCTCAAGATTCCAGACTTGAACCAAGGCTGTGAGTATGGACTGCAACTGTTCCCCACACTGCACTTCAGTCAGTGAGGGGACAGTCTCTAGGAGAGCCACTTGCCTTCTTAGCAGGGTCTCCTTCCTCTCCTTCTCTGTCTCCTGTTCCCGTTTTGTAGCACCATCCAAGAGTGCTTGCAGATGTGGTTTCTCAGCATCACCGGCTGCATCTAACAAGGCCCGCCATTGCGTTGACGTTATCTGGGCCATCTTTGGACTGCGGTGTGGGCAGGTGGATCAGAGAGTCGCCAGACAACAAAAGAATCAATCAGACTCTCAAGAGGTTCACTCCCCCTCGCGCTTAGACGAACACTCCTTTTCCTAGTCCTTGCCCACCTCAGACTATCACTTTCCCTCTCTCCCTGTTCTCTCTCCCTCCTCTCTCTTTCTTCTTTCAGATTGCGTGTCTCCACGGGCATCGGAAATGAACTCAGAAAAACAGATAAAGCTCAGAGAAGAGAAGGTAGAACTCCTAGCCGGAGCGACATTTCATTTGGAAGTAGAGAACAGCAAAAGAAACATTCAAATTCAAAGAGAGGTCTGATCCAGCGACCCTGTGTGATCAGACTGCATACGAGGTCCTCTCGAGTCCAGTCTGACCAGCTCCGTGTCCGTACAACAAATCAGACAACGAGTAACTAAATGCAACAATGGAGAATTGAGTGGTGTACAGGGTGCGAGTCAAGCCACGGATGGTGCAATCAGAATACAGGCGAAACGTCAAAGCCAAGATCCCATCGGCAGTGGGTGTCCTAATCCAAGAAGAATGAACTCATATCCCAGCCAAGAAGACAAGAGGTTAATGCCTAACCGATTTGGGTCCAGAGGCTCTCCTAGTACAATGCCATCCAATTGCAGAAAGAAATGAATGAACTTGAGAGGAGAGAGAGGAGTAGAAGAAGAAGAAGAAATGAGAAAGAAGAAGAAGAAGATGTACACCAGCAAAGATGATGACAAGGCTCTTCTTCTTCGCCCAACAATCGCCTCCTCCTTATCTCCCCCTTCTCTTATTCATACAAGAAATAATAATACAATGTTGAGTGACTGGTCCAGAATCATGTCCGAGTCCCTCTTCTACTGCAGGTATCACTCAAGGTCCACCATAGCCATGGCCGCCCCTCCCACACTTCACTCTC